TGATGTTTCAACCATCTACAAACGTCGACTTAATACCTCGTTATGAGGACTAATGATGTTTCAACCATCTACAAACGTCGACTTAATACCTCGTTATGAGGACTAATGGTGTTTCAACCATCTACAAACGTCGACTTAATACCTCGTTATGAGGACTAATGATGTTTCAACCATCTACAAACGTCGACTTAATACCTCGTTATGAGGACTAATGGTGTTTCAACCATCTACAAACGTCGACTTAATACCTCGTTATGAGGACTAATGGTGTTTCAACCATCTACAAACGTCGACTTAATACCTCGCTATGAGGATTAATGGTGTTTCAACCATCTACAAACGTCGACTTAATACCTCGCTATGAGGACTAATGGTGTTTCAACCATCTACAAACGTCGACTTAATACCTCGTTATGAGGACTAATGATGTTTCAACCATCTACAAACGTCGACTTAATACCTCGTTATGAGGACTAATGATGTTTCAACATTTACAAACGTCGACTTAATACCTCGTTATCAGAACAGGTGATTTTTTCAACCATCTACAAACGTCGATTTAATACCTCGTAATTAGAACAGGAGTTGTTTCAACCTCTTAAAAATTTCGATTTAATATCTTGTCATCAAAACAAGTGGTGTTTCAACGGTTCGACTTGTTTTTGCCAGACTCTTTTCGCCATTTCGTCACACTAATTTGTTAAGCTGGGTGTACATACGATTATGACGCAAAACGAAAAGTCTTGTCAATTTATTTCAATTTTTTACATTGTTTCCTTCGGTGCAGATACGTTTCACAATGATCATTCCTTTGATGAAGTTGACAGTGTAATCGTCGAAACGCCACACATCATTTTCTTATTGGTAATGAAACAGCGACAGCAAGAATAATCAACGCTTAGAAATCAGCATCACACTATACGGTAAAAGGGAAAAGATTTTAAAAAAAAACCCTAATGATAACGGTTTGCGTGACAGTGTTACTCCTTACTAAGTTAATCCCTGGAGTACGTCTTAGAGAGCTGTGTGTAAAGTACACTTTGTTTTCAATAAATCCGTGATTAATTTGAAGTACATTTTAATGAGAATTTCCTTTTATTTTCATGGAAGGTATTAATAGTATTAAGAAGGTTTATTCATGCTTCCCCTACCATACCCATTCTATATCATACAAAGAAGAGACGTGGACCATATTTGTACAGAACTAGACTACTGAATCTTAGACTAGAAAACCAGACACAACATTTAACTCAAGGTAAATATTGATTCATTTAAAAAAAAAAACTATTTAATATTCATAAAATAAATAAACACAAATAATAGCGCAGGAATTCAAACGTAGATGTAAAATCCTTTGGCTATCAGAATCTCAACTACAGCAAAACTTCATTTTTTTAATTAGTTAAGCATCGGTGTTATGTAATTGGTGGATACAATCCCGAACGTGTTTCTACTTTACCTTACAATATATCATATCGACTTTCGGATATTCAACAGCTTAGTCCCTTTCTCGGTCTATAACTTATATCATCACACTTAATTAAGTTTGCGGTGTAACTGATCCTACTTTAATTTTACACAGTTGTATTGTCGATCCTTTACATCCAAGTGTACATAAATGTATCATTAACATGTAGCAATGTAATCACGTGTCGATGTTAATGTCGAGTTATATCACCTTTTATATAGACTATTAAGTGCCTGATAACTAAAGCTGGTTGTGTGGTAGAAACATCCCACATAAATCTATAGCTGGTCGTATGATACAAAACGTCACACATAAATCTATAGCTGATTGTGTGATACAAAACGTCCCCCAAAAATCTATAGCTGGTTCTGTGATAGAAACGTCCCACATAAATCTATAGCTGGTTGTGTGGTAAAAACACCCCACATAAATCTATAGCTGGTTGTGTGATACAAAACGTCCCCCAAAAATCTATAGCTGGTTGTGTGGTAGAAAACATCCCACATAAATCTATAACTGGTTGTGTGGTAGAAAACATCTCACATAAATCTACAGCTGGATATGTGATACAAAACACCCCACAAAAATCTTTAGCTGGTTCTGTGATAGAAACGTCCCACATAAATCTATAGCTGGTTATGTGATAGAAACATCTCACAAAAATCTATAGCTGGTTGTGTGATAGAAACCATCTCACATAAATTTATAGCTGATTGTGATACAAAACACCCCACATGAATCTATAGGTGGTTGTGTGATAGAAAAAATCCCACATAAATCTATAGCTGGTTGTGTGATAGAAACATCCCACATAAATCTATAGCTGGTTGTGTGGTAGAAAACTTCTCACATAAATCTATAGCTGATTGTGTGGTAGAAAACATCTAACATAAATATATAGCTGGTTGTGTGGTAGAAAACATCCCACATAAATCTATAGCTGGTTGTGTGGTAAAAACACCCCACATAAATCTATAGCTGGTTGTGTGGTAAAAACATCCCACATAAATCTATAGCTGGTTGTGTGATACAAAACACCCCACAGAAATCAATAGCTGGTTGTGTGATACAAAACATCCCACATAAATCTATAGCTGGTTGTGTGGTAGAAAAAAACCCACATAAATCTATAGCTGGTTGTGTGGTAGAAAACACCCCACATAAATCTATAGCTGGTTGTGTGGTAGAAAAAAAACCCACACCAATCTATAGCTGGTTGTGTGGTAAAAACATCCCACATAAATCTATAGCTGGTTGTGTGATACAAAACACCCCACAGAAATCAATAGGTGGTTGTGTGATAGAAAACATCCCACATAAATCTATAGCTGGTTGTGTGATAGAAACATCCCACATAAATCTACATCTGGTTGTGTGGTAGAAAACAACCCACATAAATCTATAGCTGGTTATGTGATAGAAACATCCCACATCAATCTATAGCTGGTTGTGTGGTAAAAACATTCCACATAAATCTATAGCTGGTTGTGTGATACAAAACACCCCACAGAAATCAATAGGTGGTTGTGTGATAGAAAACATCCCACATAAATCTATAGCTGGTTGTGTGATAGAAACATCCCACATAAATCTACATCTGGTTGTGTGGTAGAAAACAACCCACATAAATCTTTAGCTGGTTATGTGATAGAAACATCCCACATCAATCTATAGCTGGTTGTGTGGTAAAAACATTCCACATCAATCTATAGCTGGTTGTGTGATACAAAACACCCCACAGAAATCAATAGGTGGTTGTGTGATAGAAAACATCCCACATAAATCTATAGCTGGTTGTGTGATAGAAACATCCCACATAAATCTATAGCTGGTTGTGTGGTAAAAACATCCCACATAAATCTATAGCTGATTGTGTGATACAAAACACCCCACAGAAATCTATACGTGGTTGTGTGATAGAAAACATCCCACATAAATCTACAGCTGGTTGTGTGGTAGAAAACAACCCACATAAATCTATAGCTGGTTATGTGATAGAAACATCCCACATAAATCTATAGCTGCTTGTTCGGTAGAAACATCTAACATAAATCTATAGCTGGTTGTGTGATACAAAACATCCCACATAAATCTATAGCTGCTTGTTTGGTAGAAACATCTAACATAAATCTATAGCTGGTTCCGTGATAGAAACATCTAAGATAAATCTATAGCTGAATGTGTGGTAGAAACATCCCACATAAATCTCTAACTGGTTTTGTGTAAGGAAAAGTTCCATTTACATCTTTACTGAATTTTTGATCGAGAGAATCGTTATGTTAGATTATTCTGTCTCTGAGACAAAACAATGTATTATTGATACCCGTAAAATTAAAATATCCAGAAACTTTCCCCATAAAACGTTTTAAGAAGATAGAAACATTCGAATGATCTTTATACAATGTATTGTATGACAGTGTAAGAAACTGTACCTACAATGTGTAACATGACATTGTAAGAAACTGTACCTACAATGTGTAACATGACATTGTAAGAAACTGTACCTACAATGTGTAACATGACTTTGTAAGAAACTGTACCTACAATGTATAACATGACATTGTAAGAAACTGTACCTACAATGTGTAACATGACATTGTAAGAAACTGTACCTACAATGTGTAACATGACATTGTAAGAAACTGTACCTACAATGTGTAACATGACATTGTAAGAAACTGTACCTACAATGTGTAACATGACATTGTAAGAAACTGTACCTACAATGTATTGTATGACATTGTAAGAAACTGTACCTACAATGTATAACATGACATTGTAAGAAACTGTACCTACAATGTGTAACATGACATTGTAAGAAACTGTACCTACAATGTGTAACATGACATTGTACGAAACTGTACCTACAATGTATTGTATGACATTGTAAGAAACTTTACCTACAATGTGTAACATGACATTGTAAGAAACTGTACCTACAATGTATTGTATGACATTGTAAGAACCTGTACCTACAATGTATTGTATGACATTGTAAGAAACTGTACCTACAATGTATTGTATGACATTGTAAGAAACTGTACCTACAATGTATAACATGTCATTGTAAGAAACTGTACCTACAATGTGTAACATGACATTGTAAGAAACTGTACTTACAATGTATTGTATGACATTGTAAGAAACTGTACCTACAATGTGTAACATGACATTGTAAGAAACTGTACCTACAATGTGTAACATGACATTGTAAGAAACTGTACCTACAATGTATTGTATGACAGTGTAAGAAACTGTACCTACAATGTGTAACATGACATTGTAAGAAACTGTACCTACAATGTGTAATATGACATTGTAAGAAACTGTACCTACAATGTATTGTATGACATTGTAAGAAACTGTACCTACAATGTATTGTATGACATTGTAAGAAACTGTACCTACAATGTGTAACATGATATTGTAAGAAACTGTACCTACAATGTGTAACATGACATTGTAATAAACTGTACCTACAATGTGTAACATGACATTGTAAGAAACTGTACCAAGGACAAATAAAACGTAATAACATTAGCAAATACTTTATTTATTACAAATTATGTGAATGACAATATTCATTGTACCGGTAATGTGATTTTCTTAAAGGCAAATTATATAATCAAACTAAAAATCTCTCATGGGAAATAATACCTAACATCTCTTGTAAATATATCAGATGTCTTTTACAATGAACATATCATATATATCATTTATGCATTAATGGTTTCGGAAGTATTTCAGATAGTAAACGAGAAACCAAAGGATATCGTCTAAATATTTTTTAGAGAAGATGTAAGATATTTCTGTAACATTTAAGATATCTTTAAGGACATCTTGTAAACACGTCAAATCTTATGAAAATGATATCTTATTTGATATGGTTTAATAAATGTCAACTCGTGCCTTAAATCGGTATACACACATGCTTGACGGCAAACCTGTAGACATAATGTCGTGACATAATATTTTCACTACTTTCTGTCTTTCTTGTTCGCAATGCTATGTACATATATACGAGCGCGTGAAATGTATACCTTACGTGCATATATCCTAAATAAAACCACACATAATAGCATGTACAGGTCAATATACGGGAAGCCAAACTACAAAATAAGGTCCTGGGTGTGTTTCCGATCTACACATCAGGTCACGATGAGAAATTCATCCATATATGACATGCCTTGTAAACAGGAAGCCACATTAAAACGGAAGTACTTTGTACATTTTGAAGCAACCTGCAATGGATCCGAACTGAGATGTACGCACTAATTGAAAACGGTCATAGCAAGGAGTGGAAACAGTAACAAATGTCTCAGAAGTGCAATGGCTTCAGTACTGTCCCTTTGTTGCATGTTAGCTGCGATTTTAGCATCAGCTTCCTTTACTTCTGTTGTTGGTTTAACAGTGTTGGTTTCGGTAGCTGTTGATTGGTCGTTGGCCTGGGTATTTGGTTTGGTCGTGTTATATTCGGGAAGTTCTGAGCTGTTCTTTGCCAAAGTTGTTTCATCGATGGTGTTTTCTGTGCTGTTTGCTGCGGTTACAGTAAACGTTTCCATTGCTGACTGGCACGTGTCTTCCTTAGCGCCTATTGGTGTTCGCCAATTACCGATTTCACTGACGCTACTCATCGTTCGGAAATTTTCGGCATTGTTATCGTAGACCGAAGATTGTAAAGCGTTTCCTTCAAAGTATTTATAGTTGCCAGATTTTGTCATCTTCAGGGCTACAATCTTTTCCATCCCTATCTGGAGTTTTTCTCTCGACCCGGAACAGGCAGTCAGCGGACTGATACGTTCTATCGTGATATATTCCATGGTAGTGTTTCCTTTCAGGACACAGAAGACTTTGAACTGACAGTCTGTAACGTTGTTGACTTTACTGCTAGAGATAGATACACCTGTCCGTTCAACGTGTGCTATGTCTCGGCCGTAAACCACTATATCCGCCATGTCCAATAAATCATAAATGGACTTCGATGACCATTTTCGGTCGACTAGGCAACACTGACCACACAAAATGGTCACAATCAAAACTGTCCATGATAAGATACAACACACTTTCATACTGGAAACGGCTTGCGAAGAACCTTTTCAAGCAATGACGGCCACGGTGTCGAATAAATACTGATAAGCGGTGTGTTACAAATATAACTAGTATAAAATGTTTCGATGATTACCGGAAAACCACAAGCATGATAAATTTAACATGCGGCAAGGACTTATAATGCACATGCAGAGTGACCAACAGTACACATATTCATATAGACACATTGAACATAGTCTCTGAAATGTTATGCAGTAACACAACAGACACTTTATGTTGGTATGTTTTGTGGTAACACGTCAGATACTTTATGTCTGTATGTAATATATTAACACAACAGTTACTCTATGTCGGTATGTTATATAGTAACACGTCAGACATTTTATGTCGGTATGTTATATAGTAAAACGTCAGACATTTTATGTCGGTATGTTATATAGTACAACGTCAGACACTTCATGTCGGTATGTTGTATAGTAACACGTCAGACACTTTATGTTGGTATGTTTTGTGGTAACACGTCAGTTACTTTATGTCTGTATGTTATATAGTATCATGTCAGACACTTTATGTCGGTATGTTTTGTGGTAACACGTCAGTTACTTTATGTCTGTATGTAATATATTAACACATCAGTTACTTTATGTCTGTATGTTATATGGTATCATGTCAGACACTTTATGTCGGTATGTTATATAGTAACACGTCAGGCACTTTATGTTGGTATGTTTTGTGGTAACACGTCAGATACTTTATGTCTGTATGTAATATATTAACACAACAGTTACTCTATGTCGGTATGTTATATAGTAACACGTCAGACATTTTATGTCGGTATGTTATATAGTAAAACGTCAGACATTTTATGTCGGTATGTTATATAGTGAAACGTCAGACACTTTATGTCGGTATGTTGTATAGTAACACGTCAGACACTTTATGTTGGTATGTTTTGTGGTAACACGTCAGACACTTTATGTCGGTATGTTATATAAAAACATGTCAGACACTATATGTCTGTATCTTATATAGTAACACGTCAGACACTTTATGTTGGTATGTTTTGTGGTAACACGTCAGTTACTTTATGTCTGTATGTTATATAGAAACATGTCAGACACTATATGTCTGTATCTTATATAGTAACACGTCAGACACTTTATGTCGGTATGTTATATAGTAACACGTCAGACACTTTATGTTGGTATGTTTTGTGGTAACACGTCAGTTACTTTATGTCTGTATGTAATATATTAACACATCAGTTACTTTATGTCTGTATGTTATATGGTATCATGTCAGACACTTTATGTCGGTATGTTATATAGTAACACGTCAGGCACTTTATGTTGGTATGTTTTGTGGTAACACGTCAGATACTTTATGTCTGTATGTAATATATTAACACATCAGTTACTTTATGTTGGTATGTTACATAGTAACACGTCAGACATTTTATGTCGGTATGTTATATAGTGACACGTCAGACACTTTATGTCGGTATGTTATATAGTAACATGTCAGACACTTTATGTCGGTAAGTTTTATAGTAACATGTCAGATACTTTATGTCTGTATGTTTTATAGTAACACGTCAGACATTTTATGTCTGTATGTTATATAGTAACACGTCAGACACTTTATGTCGGTAAGTTTTATAGTAACATGTCAGATACTTTATGTCTGTATGTTATATAGTAACACGTCTGACATTTTATGTCGGTATGTTATATAGTAACACGTCAGACACTTTATGTCGGTAAGTTTTATAGTAACACGTCAGGCATTTTATGTCTGTATGTTATATAGTAACACGTCAGTTACTTTATGCCGGTATGGTTTCTAGTAACACTTCAGACACTACCATCACAGCAAATACAATGCCTGACTCCCTCCCTCAACCCCATAACCTCCACAGCAATTACAATGCATGTTACTGCGTGTCCCTCCTACACCCACACAACTACTACCGCCCATTAAAAACGTGGGTATTATGTAAACTAGTGTAGTCATGAAGCCTGAAACTTCGTGCCCAGATCCGGGTTATCTTTGTTACAAGTCCGGAAATCTTAAAGATGTTGGTTTTTAAAATTGTTTCCAAGTACATATACCTGAATATAGTAAACTTATGTCATTCCCTGAAATCAAGCCTCACCACAAGTTTCACCACTTCCTATATGAAATGACAAGACAATGCATTCATTCTACTGCGTAAAAAGGAGGATGTTCTTTGTGTCTCGATGAATAACCGTTTTATTCCATCGAATGAGTCGGAAAATTTTGTATTTGTGACAAAATACCAAAGTTCCAAAATACACGAGATAAAACATCATCGCATTCACCAAGAAACAATGAACCTTGTATTTATTACATTTTTCACACCTTTCATTGATTCCAATTTGAGTATGCCACTCTCTCCATATCTGATATCAATGCTCTAGTTTCACGTAGATCTACGACAGACCTTCATAATTAAAGTAAATACAGCACACAAAACATTTTCATGTTTAAAGTTATATTGACGTGGAGCAATACATACTACTCACAACAAAGCGAGAATTCCCTATCGTTTCATAACACTTGCTATACCTGAATTGTTTTTCCTGAAGTTTGCAACACATTTCATCTGTGATGAGGTGGTAGTTTCACTGTAAAACCTTATAAATTCTGAAAAATCTTTTAAATGGAAAATGTAATGAATATATAGTAACTTAATGTCACGGTATCATGGTTATATGATATAGTAACACGAGAGACATATAATGGTGTTATCCAATGTAGTAACACGAAAGACATATGATGGTGTTATCTGATGTAGTAACACGAGAGACATATGATGGTGTTATCTGATGTGGTATCACGGGAGGCATATGATGGTGATATCTGATGTAGTAACACGAGAGACATATGATGGTGTTATCTGATGTAGTAACACGAGACATATGATGGTGTTATCTGTTGTAGTAACACGAGAGACATATTATGGTGTTATATGATGTAGTAACATGGGAGACATATGGTGGTGATATCTGATGTAGTAACATGAGAGACATATTATGGTGTTATATGATGTAGTAACATGGGAGACATATGATGGTGTTATCTGATGTAGTGACACGAAAGACATATGATGGTGTTATCTGATGTAGTAACACGAAAGACATATGATGGTGATATCTGATGTAGTAACACGGGAGACATGATGGTGTTATCTGATGTAGTAACACGAAAGACATATGATGGTGTTATCCAATGTAGTAACACGGGAGGCATATAATAGTGTTTGTGATGTAGTAACACGGGAGACATATGATGGTATTATCTGCGAACTCGCTGGAATTGTCCGAATACACCTAACATATATATTTTTCTTGTACTCGGCAGTGATTGAAAACAGCGGTATTTAAGTACGTGCATTATATCGTCAGGCTTACTGTCTGGTTTAATTAAGGAAGTCCCTACCTTCAGATCTTATGGGATAAATCTTGATTAAATTACTTTTACTTTTTTGGTATATATACTTATACCACAACAAACACATAAAGCAAATATGTCACCGCATTTGCATTGGCTAACAGGGTCACAGATCTAGTGAAATGACACTGTTTACGTACAGTTCCGATTATTCCGCATAGCTACCCCGGAAGGCCTCGTACTTTTCCATTACCTTGGTTCTCCTCTTGGTTATCGTGCGGCCCCTTGGAAAATATAAAGGTCAGGAAATTAAAATGACAGGTTCGGTAGCTATGACTTGTATTTTCGAAGCGAAGTCTAGCGGGGATATACAGCGGTATGGAGATGGGAGTGATAGAAAGGCTGGAAGAGGGAATGTATGGAAATTCGATGTACAGATATGTTACCATAGACATTGTATAGTGAAGGGATCTCCTAATAATACTACATTTATATCTAGTTTCCGGCCGACCACGATCTGTTAGTAAAAGTTAAGGATTTCGGATATACACACTTCTGTCTATATGTATGTCCGCTCTATCTCGGAAATGACACGTCCGTGTGCCTAAGTTAGATATGTGTGGGTATAATGGATGATGTAAAAAGGCAAATCGTGACAAAATGGGCGACAGGAAATGAATCGTGAGAAACTTTGACAAAGCCTAACCAGAAACACGGAGAAAAGCACGCCAGAGAAACAAACAAAAACAAAAAAGTGACTATTCGTGAAAATATTACTTTTATATCTTGCTTCCATATTCATTTGAAACTCTGTTATCTAATTAATTCGCCAATGTTATTTTGCACTAGTGAGGTTTCTTTTGCATTACATAAAAATAGGCCTTCGAGTATGTAATCATTTATGGGTAGTGGGAGAGAACGTTTGGTAGCAATCTATTTTAATACAACATTGTCCAAAACATACTCTATGGTACAACAATGTCCAAAACATACTCTACGGTACAACATTGTCCAAAATGTCCTCTAGAATACAACATTGTCCAAAACATACTCTACGGTACAACATTGTCCAAAATTCCCTCTAGAATACAACATTGTCAAAAGCATACTCTACGGTACAACATTGTCCAAAACATACTCTACGGTACAACATTGTCCAAAATTTCCTCTGGAATACAATGTATTAAACATGCTATCCAGATTGTGGTCAGGTGGCGCAGTGGTAACGTACTCGCCTTTCACCTAGCCGACCGGGGTTTGATTCACGGAACCAACGTGAAAAGGTAGGGGTCATCTGCCCGACCACGTGGGTTTTCCCCGGGTACTCCGGTTTCCTCCCACAATAAGACCCCTCGCGCCTACATCCGGGCCAACAAGAGTGATCAGTATAAGTTGACACAACTTGTTTCGCAATTGTTGTAAAATAAATAAAGTTTATATATTACAACAATATCGAAAAACATACTTCTCTAGAGTACGGCAATATTCACAACATACTTCTCTAGAGTACGGCAATATTCACAACATACTTCTCTAGAGCACGCCAATATTCACAACATACTTCTCTAGAGTACGCCAATATTCACAACATACTTCTCTAGAGTACGACAATATTCAAAACATGCCTCTCTAGAGTACACTAATATTCACAACATACTTCTCTAGAG